TATATATAAAATCCTTGCTACATGTACTGCGTTAGGCTAACCGAGACTTGTCATTTGCACTTACATATTGTTGCTCTTTTGTTAGTTTTGATTGCTTCTATTGTCCTCATTTGTAAGTCGCTTTGGATAAAAGCGTCTGCTAAATGACTAAATGTAAATGTATTAGACTGCTGTCACTTTAAGAGCTGCCCAGATCCAATATACCGTTACACGTGTGTTTTCTTTCTCAGCTGTTTGCTTTCACTTAAGACATAAATTACTGTGTTTATGAGGATACTTGCAAAGACGGGCATTTTGACACATACAAGAGTGTATTTAACCGTTCAAGGCCTATAAAGCGGCAAAAATAACTCAATACTTTAATAAGTTCAATACTCCCGCACTCTAAGCGCCGTCTTCACGTGCTCTTCCTCTCAGACAGCGCTCATGAACAGTCTCTCAATCAGCACGCACATATAGCGAAATGAGTTATCTTTTGCTGCTGATTGAGTTTCAGCAGCTTAAAATCACTTGGTTTTTAAACCACAATGCTTAAAAATGCATGCAAACAATAAGTTTTCGTGACCACGTAGCAAAGCAACGAACGTCACGTGTGTAACCGCGATAGAGACGATAGTCCAAAATCTCTACCGGTTGACAAATTTCTACCGGTTTAATCGTGTCTACCAGTATATCGCCCACCCCTATATCATATATATATTTATATAAAACATAAAAACTATATATGCACGTAGGGGTGTGCGATATTGTCAAAAAATAATATCTCGATATTTTCTGGGATTTTATCGATGACGATAATTAGACGATATTTTGCTGAGTGTGTTGTTGTGCTGGTACCTTAAGGACTGCCGAAGACAGCTGACTCATAATGTTTTTAATATTCTTCATATTCTGTGTGGTGGTCAGTTCATACTGATAGAAATTAATCTTTTCCAATAAGTTTAAACAGATTTTTACATTTTATGGGCATTTTTACCTTTATAAAGCCATTTTTTCTAGAAGTGTCCATTATCTTTTGAGTCAAATTCTTACATTTAATCAGGGAATTAGAATAATAAGACATTTGGGCTGTTACAAATTGGGCAAATGAAATCAACACAGAAGCTGCATCTGAAGTGGCATTTAGATGTATTTACACACATGTATTTTGTTTAATAAGACATGAATGCATTTAACCTGCAATTACAAATGCATAAATAATGTTTTGATATATTAAACATAAAACGTTGAATACTGATATTTGAAACGATTTAAAACATGAAAAAAATATATAAAAAAAAAAGAAAAAGCCGAAATTTGAAATGAAAACCGCCAGCAGGTGGCAGCAAATCACTGTTAATAAGTGAGTCATTGCGACTGAACCAAATCATTTAAACGGTTGATTCATTCAAGAACGAAACACCGTCATGTTGCTCAGAGACACAAAACAGCACTGTGGCTGTATTCGGAATGATTTTTGTTGGCGAAATAGAGCAAAAACAAGCAATATGGTGTCTAAAACGTAAGTCTCTTAATTAACTTATTGTTTATTGAATTCAATGTCACATTTGTAATCATGGTAATTTTTGGAGAAAAACGGCACTCTTCGTGTGAAATTGAATAACTATATGAAGTGGTATAAATATATAAATTTTCTGCCATCATGTCTTGAATTTGTGATCATTCTAAATGCATTTTAATAGACTGAATCATGCAGTGAAAGAAAACACACTAAATGCGCACACGCACTAGTCTAGACTTCACGTAATGTATGCGTGCGCTCTGTAGGGATGTTTTGAATGGTTTTTGCAAAATACTCGATAATGTCAAATCGCACATCGTTAAAACGACAATTACGATATTATCGCAGACGATATATATCGCACACCCCTATATGCACGTTTATGTGTGTGTTTATACAGTGGGGGAAATATTTATTTGATTCCCTGTTGATTTTGTAAGTTTGCCCACTTACAAAGAAATGAAGGGTCTGTAATTTTTATGGTAGGTTTATTTTAACGTATAGAGACAGAATACCAACCAAAAAATTAAGAAAAAACACATTATATAAAGTTAGACATTGA